TGCACCGCCCGCAACTGCAGGGCTCTCCAGAGGGTGGTGCGGTCTGCCCAACTCATCACCGGGGGCAAACTACTTGCCCTCCAGGACACCTACAGCACCCGATGTCACAGGAAGGCCAAAAAGATATTCAAGGACAACAACCACCCGAGCCACTGCCTGTTCACCCCGCTATCTTCCAGAAGGCGAGGTCAGTACAGGTGCATCAAAGCTGGGTCCGAGAGACTGAAAAACAGCTTCTATCTCAAGGCCATCAGACTGTTAAATAGCCATCACTAGGCGGCTTCCACCTGGTTATGTAACCCTGCACCTTAGAGGCTGCTGCCCTATATACATAGACTTGAAATCACTGGCCACTTTAATAATGGAACATTAGTCACTTTAATAATGTTTACATAATTTTGCTTTACTCATCTCATATGTATATACTGTATTCTATTCTACTGTATTTTAGTCTATGCCCCTCCGACATTGCTCGTCCTAATATTTATATATTTCTTAATTCCATTCTTTTACTTTTAGATATTGTGTATTGTTGTGAATTGTTAGATATTACTGCACTGTTGGAGCTAGAAACACAAGCATTTCGCTACACCCGCAATAACATCTGCTAAACGTGTATGTGACCAATACAATTTGATTTGATGCACAAGAAGTATGAATGCCCTGACTTCTGCAAAGGCCATATCACCATAAATGCTGCACAGCCAATGCGGAGGTCGGATTGACCATGCAGCTTAATATGTGCGTACTTTAGCAATATCATATTCCCAAGCGCCTATAGTGTAATTTAGACGAAACAGTCATTAGCCCCCGTTCTACTTTTGAGCATCAATATGGCTGCGTTACAAAATTTGGGAGGAGCGTTGCGGTGCTCGATTTGGCCTCTGCAAGCTTCTGGAGGCTCCGTGATTTCGTCACACACTTCATATGCAGCCTCCGGATCATATCCAGTGTTGTCAATTTAGCGACTTTGTCGCTATATTTAGCGAGTATTCATACCCCTCTAGCGACACATTTTCAAAAACGCGACTAGCGACAAATCTAGCGACTTTTTCTGGTGTTATTGGAGACTTTTGGAGACTCTGATGTGAAAGCACGTATTGTTCTTACTCTTCTCAACGAGCAGCGGGTGCTGCCGTGCCGCTGCCGTGGGCTCACCCCCGTCCCAAAGCACTCACAGGCGGCCCAGTCCTCGCGCAGCAGTCCCTCCCAGCTGCAGTCAGAGCAGCAGATGTTCACCCCTCCACGTCCAGACTGCAAATGAATCGCGCATGCAAAAAAAATTAACTCTAAGTAACTCCGCCAGAGTGTCTCTTTTGGGTCACTTTTGCCAGTCCCAAGCCCGGATAAAGGAGGAGGGTTGGAATTGTGACATAAAAAAACTAACAAGAATCAATAGAAGAAAGTTAATTTGTAGTTCTAAACATATTTAGGGTATTTTTTTACTAACTTTTTGTCTCTCCCACGACGTTATTCCTCTCCTACAGCATCCATCACAATTACATGCACATGGCCAATTATGCAAATCGTCATTTAGTGACTTTTAGGACAGCCAATAGCTACTTTCCTTACCGAGGAGTTGGCAATACTGATCATATCAGTTCAAGCATAAATTGGCTTTAGCAACAACGTGACGGAGGTGCAATCCATGAATAGGCTACATCTGCCAGTACACATTTTTATTGAGAAATTATTAAGTTAAAAGAAAGTGCCACCTCGCCTAAAAACAATTGCACATCACTGCCACTTAGGTATAGGCTATAACCAGGGCTATCTCTGGGAAGATTAATAAAATATTTAAGAAACGTTTTCGAACTTCAAGGCATGGCTGAATAGCCTACAGAAGGCGACATTTCCGAGGTAATAAATAATATTAGTGTTTTATAAACATGTTGGGTTCTGTTCTCGCAGTTGACTTATCGACCTTTTTATGATGTTTCTCCTCGCGGGCGCATATCGTGTAGCTTACTCTTAGTCCTCACTTTTAGGGATATCTGACCAATGAAACTTGATGATTGATCAAAGATGAAAGCTCTAGTTCTGGAATGGGGATAGATGCGGGATCCTTGGGACTTCCCTACCTCATTTGAAGTTTACATTTAAAATGGTTAAGGTAAGGATCCCATATAGCACTAACCATAGTCATGGAATGGTGATTACATACACCTTCCTAATATTAAGTTGCTAGCCCCCCATTTTGCCCTCAGAACAGCCTCAATTCGTCTGGGCATGGACTCTACAAGGTGTCGAAAGCGTTCCACAGGGATGCTGGGTCATGTTGACTCCAATGAGCCCCACAGCTGTCAAGTTGGCTGGATGTCCTTTAGGTGGTGGACCATTCTTGATACACACTGGAAACTGTTGAGCCTTAAAATAAATAACAGCAGCGTTGCAGTTCTTGACACACTCAAACCGGTGCGCCTGGCATCTACTACCATACCCTGTTCAAAGGCATTTTAAATATTTTGTCTTGCCCATTCACTCTCTGAATGGCACACATACACAATCCATGTCTCAGTTGTTTCAAGGCTTACAAATCCTTCTTTAACCTGTCTTCTCTCCTTCATCTACAGTGATAAAGTGGATTTAACAGGTGACATCAATAAGGGATCATAGCTTTCACCTGGTCAGTCTGTCTTGGAAAGGGCAGGTATTCCTAATGATTTGTACACTCAGTGCAGCTCGATTCATGGCATAATCAAGTTAAATGTCTCCCTCTGGTGTTTGAAAGAAAATCCCCAGACCCACATCTGCATTTGTATGAGTGGAGGCTATTCTAATAGTAGTGTTTTATTAAATGCAAATTATATAAGCTATATTATAGTATTATGAAGGCTACTTGAGTAGGCAATTTAACTAACCTATGTATAGATGAATATAGATGAAGGGCACATGGTCAGTAAGTAGATAAATACATGTATGACAGTATTTGTCATAAATATAGGCCTAATAACATATTTTTTGCCTCTAGTGACGTTCAAGCTTGATTCTGAGAAGATGGCAAGCAGCTCCGACTAAGTGTGTTGAGTTTGCGGTAGTAGACGGGGACATATTTTTCAAGGTAAAGTGGTGCTTTAAAAGGTTGACTGAAGTTTGTTTTTTATATCCACGTGTAAACTACTGATGTAAATGTTTTTTTTTTTTTTTGTCATTTAGCAGACACTCTTATCCAGAGCGACTTAGTTAGTGAGTGCATACATTTTTCATACTGGCCCCCCCCCCGTGGGAAACGAACCCACAACCCTGGCATTGCAAGCGCCATGTTATACCAACTGAGCATTGTCAGACTGAGATTTCACCCTCTGCTCCTTCCGTCTTTGTTTTCTTCATGTTGTCTGTGTGGACTGATTCCCTGTAAAGTCGGAAACGAAGGTAATATACATTTCTTACAATTACAAGTCATGTAGATGTGGATCGTCTTACCTAGGCCATGTGTTATTTAGGTCCAGCTTAAATAATAGAATGTTAAAGAAATTGTCCAGTGAAAATCTCACATTCTGTTAACTCATACCCAAATAATGTTGGTGACTCATCCTATATTCGTATTTGTGGCCAAAGCATAAATTGGAGGGGAAAAAACACTTCAAAAACCACACCTCAAACTTGTATCTCAAACAGAACATTTAAAAAATGCTTGCTATTTCCTCATAGAGGATGATGCCATCAGAGATGCTGTATATAATGATGAGATGGTCTTCGCCCTAACAATGGGAGTCATTGTTAGGGCGAGGAAGGTAGGTGGTCTGCTTACAGGAAGGTAGGTGGTCTGCTTACTGGTCTGCTTATTGCTGTATTCCCATGTTGACTCCAATGCTTCCCACAGTTGTCAAGTTGGCTGGATGTCCTTTGGGTGGTGGACCATTCATGATACACATGGGACTGTTGAGCGTGAAAAACCCAGCAGCGTTGCAGTTCTTGACACAAACTGGTGCGCCTGGCACCTACTACCATACCCTGTTCAAAGGCATTTTAATATTTAGTCTTGCCCATTCACCCTCTGAATGGCACACAAACACAGTCCATGTCTCAATTGTCTCAAGGCTCCTGCACTTCATCTACACTGATTGAAGTGGATTTAACAAATGACATCAATAAGGGATCATAGCTTTCACCTGGATTCACCTGGTCAGTCTGTTTTGTATATCACACTGTCAAATGTTATTTTTTTGTGATCACACATTCCCTCTTCTGCAGATTTAGAGTTGGATGATTTTGAATAAGAGACTAATAAATACTTCAAAAAAAATTATCCAAATCAAAAGCAACCGATTCCTGGTTGTAGATTAAGAATGTCTCAAGTTTGAAGAGAGTAATCAGGAGCAATGCAAAGCAGGTCAATATACCTAGTGAACCCAATTTGCAGGGGTTAAAGGTCTGTCACTGTGAAGGATTTCTGTCATATTAAATTAATGTACAAAATTATCCTCTTTCCCTAAAAGCATGATGGTCATGACTTTTTTTTACATGAAAGGGGAGGTTAACTTGGCTCCACAGACAATCGATCTGAGAGCGACAATGATATGACTTAGATGCAGAAAGTAAACAGCATTGTGGGTCAATTTCCACAACAACTAAGAGCATTGAAGCACGAGGCTCAACTTCTCTGCTGTTTTGGTTCCGTGGCTACCACGCTGTAACAGCGTGAAGCGAACCTTTGCACATGCGCAGATTCTGTGTGAGAGTGAAGTCTTGAATCTTGCTCATTTCAAATCTGCAGTGTTGCACATGACTATGTAACTTAGCTGAGTCTACCTCTACGTTTAAGTATGGGATTTTGGGGGGATTTAACCCCTGAATCTGTGTCCGGTAAACCGTCCCTCAAAGTATGGTACAGAGATTAGGCTACTGATGCGCCTGCATATCACAACCCCATGCACCAGTGAAGATCATGTGACATCCATATGACAAAAACATGCAAAGGTACTTTACGCATATTGCTGCAAGACATACAGTATTTCCCTCTGTTGAATGCATATTTTGTCTTGTTTTCTGGTTTCGAGATGATTGCCGGTTCAATATCCAATTCTATAGAAACAATGACATGCCCAGAGTAAGGGCTGTTACTCTCTCTGCAACTTTTAAGCAAACTTGTATGGTGTGCTGTAAAAATAATGGGAACCAAAAAGGAGTTTCTGCCAAACCACTGGTAAGCATACATTTTGAATACAGACATTTGCATTGATTTTGAAATTAACAGTGCTTACATCTACGTTACATGTAATGTGTGGATTTATTTCACAACATTTTACAGCTGAACTTCCCACAAAGCAACACACTGAACAGTCCCTTTAGCCTTAGTATGGGTTGACAACTGGGTCGGGTTCAGCAGTTGTTCAACAAAAAGCAAAAATCCGTGTTCTCCTATGAGACAAGATCAGGAAGTACCTCCCCATTTCACAGTTTCTCCCAATTGAACACGACCCAGGTGTGATTATTACTGTACCCTTCATACCAGCTGTTTGCACAAACACACTTCACACTGACAAGACAAAGGTAACCAAAAAACCCTCCCCTATTTTCCCCCAGGAGCAATCTTTGTCTGAGAAAGTTGGCTAGTCACATGAGGCTATGTTCTTCATGGAACTCATTCCTGGTTAAACTAAGTGCAGATTTAAGTCATCGCTGTCGGGTTGGTGGTACTTGAGCTTTGAGGCGGGACCAGATGCAGAGCTCTTGAAGTTAGTCCTCAGGGAGGTGCCTGATGATGTTGTGGATGAGAGGTGTTATATGGACTTACAAAATCATGGAATATGACATTGAGTTTATGGTACTTTTGTTAAGCCACTGTAAATACTCATCAGTGCTTATAAATTCATAAGCAGTGCTTATAGAATAGAAAGCTATTTTTCCAGCGAGGGACCATATTTTGGGATGCTTTATATCTGTTTAATTTTGTGGTTTTAATGCTTAAATGCTGGAAAACCCATTATAAAGTGGTTTACTGAACAGTTACGAGTTTATTGATTACACTAATATTTGCAGTACTTCAAGTCAGTTGCACAGCTCACACAAGAAGTCTGTGTACACGTCGTTCAAGTTACCAATGAGAAATGTTAATGAATAATCCACTTGCTCAAAACCATCAGAATACTTCCTCACGGGCAGACACTTTCTACATTTGTGTGTAGTCTACCATCCTCTGTATCTGATCATATCTACTCTGTATTAAACTGATTTAATAAATAAACAGAAATCCGTAACCTTAACACAATCCATAATATCCACTTTATTCTGAAGAGGCTTAAGGTGCATTCTTTCCAAAGCTAATTTGTGCGTAACAATCTGACTGAACGGATTGGTGACGTATAAATCGACGAGCCCTAATAAAAAGACAAAACACAGTTGAATTTTGAAAGCCATTTAACCTCTACGGGATCGGTATCCCATATATGGGACGGTTGAGCTAACGTGCGCTAATGTGATTAGCATGACTGTTGTAAGTAGCAGCAAACTTTCCAGGACATAGACATGTCTTATATGGGCAGGAAGCTTAAATTCTTGTTAATCTAACTGCACTGTCCAATTTACAGTAGCTATTACAGTGAAAAGATACCATGCTATTGTTTGAGGAGAGTGCACAACAACAACAAACTTATCACAGCAACTGGTTTGATACATTCACCTCTAAAGGTAAATAATGAACTTACATTTAGTAATCTTGCTCTGATTTGTCATCCTAAGGGTCCCAGAGATAAAATGTAGCATAGTTTTGTTTGATAAAATCAATTTTTATATTCAAATGTAGGAACTGGGTTCTACAGTTTGAACCCCTGCTGTCTCTGGCTCCACACCCACCCCACCCGGCCATCTAGATGTGTGAAAGTTAGTGTATAAGCTAATGATCCATCATGTATGACATTCCTGGGAGTGTGTAAATGTACATTTTATATTACCATATCATTTTTGTATGTTATGTACTTAAATGTATCAATTGACCAATTCAGCACATTTGGGCAGACTTGATACAAAATAGTCCAGTATTGCAATGCTTCACTGGATCGATCTGAAACGTTGCACACACTGCTGCCATCTAGTGGCCAAAATCTAAATTGCACCTAAACTGTTGTAAAATATTATATTGTGGACTTTCTCTTGCATTTCAAAGATGAAGAAAAAAAAGAAAACGCATGTTATTTTGTTTGTATTATCTTTTACCAGATCGAATGTGTTATTCTCCTACATTAATTTCACATTTCCACAAACTTCAGTGTTTCCTTTCAAATGGGATCAAGAATATGCATATCCTTGTTTCAGGTCCTGAGCTACAGGCAGTTAGATTTGGGTATGTAATTTCAGGCGAAAATTGGAAAAAAAAAGGGTCCGATCCTTAAGAGGTTAAGCTTTCAGACATTTATGAGTAGTATGAGGACAACGATCAATACCTTCATCTTTCTTGGATATTTAACATTGACAACTACTACTTGTTTCAGCCGACACTCCCAACAGTACAAAAATAAAGCTCTGCCATTTTGACCAAGTGCTTGCACTCTATGTTGACTTGACTTAATATTTGATGCCAGCTGTACTTGACTTGTTGACGCTTAGCAGCTGTTCATACATACACTTGAAAAGATAAATGGAAAGTTAAATTCCTGCCAACAACATGCACAGTGTACTATGCTAAATACTCAAGCAAGAGTGATGCCAGGCACAGCTGTGTAAGTAAATTATGCACATTATTACAAAACCAGGATATTGTCATTGGATATTATTGACTGAGAACTTAAACAGGGCTGGTACAGGAGGAAGCACAGTGGTGTACAGATCAGAATGGCTTCTCTTCTACATGCTCAACTTGGGATGTGCTCAGTGAGGTGAAATGTTCAGAATGTTGCAGTTTGAAATGAATAGAGCTGCGGTGATGCCCAATTCTGCATGACAAATCATATCGGTTCTACAAAATGCATATCTGAATGTTTTATAACATCACACCCCTTCTGAACAGACCCCTAAAGTCCAGAACAGTATGGCTACAGGGTTGTAAATACTGCTAGTGGTCACACCCATTTGCTCCTGTCAATCAAATCTGACTGCAATGGTCTTGAAGGGCACTAGCTGGTATTTACAGATTGGTGACAGACACAAAACATATCACAATTATCCCACAAATAAAAATGCAATGTCTACATAATAAATTAAGTTAGTACAGAAGAGATTAAGTCATTTGCCATACTGGATTTGAAATTAAGGACAAACATGTAAATCACTGTCGATACCTCCTCAGATAATAAGCATTACACAAGTGTTTGGACTATTAGTTTGATAACAGGAGTGAACTCAGTGAGGGGAAGATAGAATAGGGAATTGTCTTTTTCCCAATGCATTTCTACATAAGATTACCATATCTGTTCTACAAAATGCATTTCTATCGAAGCGTTCTGTAAAATTGCACCCTCTTTAACAGGCCCCAGGTAAAAGTTAACCGGATAACATTTAACTAACGGCAGCAAACACAGCAGCATGTGTATGCGTGTTTGGTAGGGGTCAGAAGGACGACATATTTAGTTTAGTCCATATCAACAGGAGCAGATCATTAACATGCCAGAAACAGACCTGTTGACGCCCAACACAAACCTCCAGAACTTGCAAAAAATTCATTTTTTTCCCTCCCCAAAAAAGCCTGACTCGACATGAATTACAACACTTGTGAATCACTGTAATATTGTGAAATTATATATTTATAGAAATGTACATATAATCCCTTGAATGTTTACAATCATACCAGAACAAGATGGCTGATGTCCCAGTGCCCACGCCACCCATCCCAAACCTCAGTCCATTCATTTGCTCCATAATAGGGCCACCGCTTTGCAAATGCCTACATCGTTGTAGTTGAAGTAGCAGAGACCGGCAAAGGTGACAGTCGACAATAGGAAGAGGCCTGCGTTGGCCATCTTGATCTTCGGTTCTCCATGAACATAGTCCGTTAAGACTTGTAAAATCCCCCTGGAGAGAGAAGACAATACAAGAAACTTATGAGACTGCTTAAAACCACAATATTACGTAATAGCCAGTGATGTACTGCTAAAAAAATCTAATAGCTCACCGCGATCACAGTTTACCCATCTAAGTAACGCTCCCTATACTTTCAATGCAATTTTGCGCAAAAGGTGGGTAAATGCTAGGGCAACAAAAAAAGTGGCTAAACAGTGTTAACAAAGGTTCACTCACATTTTTGGGGGCACTGAGCAAATTCCAGGTCTGCTGAGCGCAAACTTGAACGTTGTGAAAATTCTGTGCAACTTCCAGCGTGCGTTTACTGTGAACACTGAGGCTGTACCCACTTTAAGTTAGTTTTAACAGTGGCCTAGTAGGCTACTGTGGCTATTTGATCATAATGTAGGCCTACCAGAGTGGCCTACCATCAAAAACAATGGAGAAAATGCACCCCATAACATTTTAACATGGAAATATCTGTTCTACCATTCAGCCTACAGTAGCAGCCAATGTGTGGTGTTCAATGTAGGCCTACATTCAATTAGACTTTTGAGAGAGAAAAAAATCACACAGGGCTTAACATTAACCTGTTTATCCACTTGTCCTTCAGACAAGGAGGTGACTGAAAATGTTGTGTTTGATGCAAGAAACCACTTTACAAATCAAATGCATTATTCCCATTCCATTATTAGAGAATCAGACAAATTATGCTACCCTCTGCCTATTGGCTACTTAGCTTATTCAAGCCCGTCTCAAAATACAACACTGCCCCTTTAAGACCCAAAAAAGCTCTTTACCTGACTGGCTTTTCAAATATGTCTAGAAATGTACACATTTTGTGCTCTTGTAGGAAGCAATCACTCTTCTTATGCGGACTACAACTTATCTATAACTGGGCTAATAACTCACTAACTAGCAAAGGATATGAACAAAATGTGCACACGTGGCTACATGCAGCTCTCGATTTGATCTCAAAACAAGCGCATCTACTTATAACCGCTCATGCTGTAAACACAGTCGAGTTCAAAGTAAATGGCACAGATCCATTTGGCAATGGGCAATTTGCATATAGGCCTACTGCAACTATAATTGTTTATGCCGCACCGGGCTGAGTAGTGCGTGTCAGTAGGTAGCTTAGTGGTTAAGAGCGTTGTGCCAGTAACCGAAAGGTCGCTGGTTCTAATCCCCGAGCCGACTAGGTGAAAAATCTGTCGATGTGCCCTTGAGCAAGGCACTTAACCCTAATTGCTCCTGTAAGTTGCTCTGGATAAGAGTGTCTGCTAAAATGACTAAAGAAAATGCAATAGAATCCTACTCCGATGCATTCTGCCTACAACAAAATCTCTTGCATAGTTTGTTTTGTTTCGGTTTGTTGCTAATATTGCGTTGATTCGATCACAATTGCCACAGTAAAGGGAAATGTTGATAGTGTTAACAGGGACAATTCTAGAACGGTGGTCACCAACCTTTGAGTCAAGATCACTGAGTCAAAATTCAAGCCGAGATCTACCACTGAGATTTGTTTTTTTTACATGACAAAAAATGTAAGCCTATGCAACTTTAACCAATTAAAAACAGTACTGTAGCAATGAGATTTGTGCAGCAAGCTATAGGCCGAATACATCACCACCACATATTGGCATTGCCAATGCATTGTTGTTCGGGCCATTAAAAAAATTGAGGTAGGCAATATGATCCCACCGGTAATAGATCCATTGTTGTATTACTTGTGAGGCACAGCTGAGTGAGCATACATTTAAATAATTAGCTTTTTATTTTACTGGGCTGACGGTGCCTGCATCTGATGGTCAGTCTCAGCGGAGGGAGAGAACAGCAGACTGAGGGTCCACCTCTCAACATCCCTCCGCTCTCCCTTTCCTCCACTGACACTGACCAAAGGAACCGTCTTCCAGCTGATGGCAAAAATCGAGTCGCACCGCATTATTTCTGCCTCATGCACAAATTCATGTTGTTACTCCTATGAACAGAGAAAGTGAAATATTCCTTGATTATAAAAAAAACCCAAGCTGCTAATAATAACGCAAGCCTATAGACACACTTTCCTACTCATTCATTATTGCTGCAGTGCTTGTTGTAGCACTGAGTGGAAATAGGAAGAACGTGCAAAGTGTTGAATACAAAGTGTTGACAGTGCTGAGTAAGAATTTACATTTTAGTCATTTAGCAGACGCTCTTATCCAGACAGCCCTCCTGAAATTAGCCCACTCAACTACCTCATCCCCATATTGTTATTTATTTTGCTCATTTGCACCCCAGTATCTCTATTTGCACATCTCTTGCACATCTATCATTCCAGTGTTAATACTCATTGTAATTATTTTGCACTATGGCCTATTTATTGCCTTACTTCCATAACTTGCTACATTTGCACACACTGTATATATATTTTCTGTGGCATTTTTTACTTTGTTTTGTTTTACCCCATATGTAACTCTGTGTTGTTGTTTTTAATCGCACTGCTTTGCTTTATCTTGGCCAGGTCGCAGTTGTAAATGAGAACTTGTTCTCAACTGGCTTACCTGGTTAAATAAAGGTGAAAAAAACAAAAACATTTTCATACTGGCCCCCCAACTTAAACATGAACTCACTCATAAAAACAGCAGCTCTTTGCTGTCTACGTTGACAGCCTCTCTCTAGTCATGGTTTGAAACGTTTTGAAATCTGTCAACTTTGCTGTAGCTTTGTTTTAATGCCTGTTACGTTACTGTGGTCCTCTGTAGCTCAATTGGTAGAGCATGGCGCTTGTAATGCCAAGGTAGTGGGTTCCACCCCCGGGACCACCCATACGTAAAAATTTATGCGCACATGACTGTAAGTCGCTTTGGATAAAAACGTCTGCTAAATGGCATATTATTATATTATTATTATATTATTATATTATTACTGCAGACACGGTAATCTGAGCCATCTGATTGGCCAGCGGTAAACCTATAGTGCACTTTATTTGCTCTCCGGGCCAGCCGGGAAGGCAGAGTATGTACCTTCAGACATGAAATGGTTCAAAATGGCAACAGTTCACCTACCCGGCACGCAGGACAGCTGAATCAGGTGCACCTACCACCAACAGCCAGAGGAAAAAAATAATAGAAAAAAAGAGCACAAGGCTTTACCGTTGGGTTTTTTACATAAATGTTTGGCGATCGACTAGGAATGCCTTGGCGATCGACCAGTCGATCACAATCGACCGGTTGGTGACCACTGCTCTAGAAAGTTGAGTGAAGTTTAATCTTGTGCTTCTCTCTGTGGGCTGATATTTCTGCGTGCAGTCCTGGGGGAGCTGCGCAGCAGTCTCGGGGCTACTACACGCAGCTTAGAGGGAACATTGGCGTTAACCCTCCACTACGCCACTGATCATATCCATCTTGACTTCATAATCATTCATTGACTTCCCCAGGGTAATGTTAGGGAGAGGGAAGTGGACAAATGCATAATCTGAATGGCTGAAGACCCACCAAGGAGCCACTAAGACCTTGAGGAACACACCAACAGCTCAAGGCACCATCATGTGACCTTAGGCTATTCTTTGTTTAGACTACAGGGTGGGGTGTCTTGTCCGGTTTATGTAGCCCATGTGAAATGGCTAGCTAGTTAGCGGTGCGCGCTAGTAGCGTTCAATCAATGACGTCGCTCTAAGACCTAGAAGTAGTAGTTTCCCTTGCTCTGTAAGGGCTGCGGCTTTTGTGGAGAGACAGGTAACGATGCTTTGTGGGTGACTGTTGTTGATGTGTTCAGAGGGTCCCTGGTTCGAGGCAAGGAGAGGGACGGAAGCAATACCATTACATTGAGAACAAACAGAACTGTAAGCATTAAGGGATAAGGAATGGTGAAATCCTTATAGTGCCTAAAGAGATCAGCCAATCTTATTTACATAGCAGTGGCCTTGGAGGACTAAGAGCTTTGTAGGCGTGCTCATAGTGTTCCTCAGTTAACTGGACAATGGTATTTCATGACTCCAGTTGAGAATAGCGGCACTCACACAGCCTTAGCAAGTCAGGCAAAGTGAAATGGTGCTGATCTCCTGGAACATATGTGGAGTGCGGTTTTAAAAATGTCTTCACTTAACAAAAGTAGCACATGGAAAACCCATGGTGTATTACACATGACCAGCATTCTTAAGCGTCATCTTGATGTTCAAAATATATATATGAGCGTGCATTTCAACTCCTCAGCGACAAGCTTGACAACTGGGAATTAACTGGTTTTCATTAGAGTGACATGCCTTGAGGATATCCAAGTACCCAACACTAAAACCTAAGGGGTATTAACACCACACATGACTAGGATTTGTACTTTAAACCTGCCACATTCATTTAGTCAGTGGTCTAGCTATGGCACAGTGCCCCAGGGTGACACTAAGCCCACCTCTTCAAAAAGCTCTCGTAAATGAAAGCACAAAACTGTTTTTGCATGAGCAGAAATGTAGTGGAGATAGACTTGGTTGGATATCCCAACCACTTGTCTATTCTATTCACTATTTTCTTTCATAAAAGCTTCCAACTGTAGTCACCACCAGTAATGTTTTGTTGTTGTCCGGAAATGATTGTTTAAGTGTAAATATGAAAGGAAAAATATTTAACCAGAATAAGGAAGTGAGACAGCAGGCCAGTGCCCTTTAAACCAATTACCGTAACCATTTTTAGAGGGGAAACTCTTGTCTTACCAGTGGCCATGCAGGGTGAGGATAGCAGCCAGCGAGTAGTCAACAGCAGGGCCGGGGAAGTAGTAGGCAGCAGGCCCCATGGCCAGCAGCAGTACGCTCACCACACGCTCTCCTGTCCAATGCAGGGAGGCAGCTTTGGACCCAGAGCCAGCTGCAAAAGGGCAAATAACTAAACATTCAATCATACATCCACATGCAGAACTAACCTCTTGTGGAGAGAGGGGGATAATCATTTAAACAAAGACTCATCATTGAAAACAGTTCATTTACATGTATTTTATAACCCGTTAGCCAGATAGGCCTACTAGAAATCTCTGACATGTTTTTAGCACATAGAAGCAATTAGGTTTGTCTGTTAGCCTACAGATTTTTGTTGTTGTTGCGTTTAACAATTGTCCCAGTCAGTTTCTAACTGAGGTTTATATCTTTGAGGTTCTACTATACACACCAGCTCCAGTGGAGATTGCCGAGGGGAGGACGGCTCATAATAATGGAGGGAACGGCATCAAACACATGGAAACCATGTGTATGATGTTTTTGACACCATTCCACTGATTCCGCTCCAGCCATTACCACGAGCCCATCCTCCCCAATTAAGGTGCCACCAACCTCCTGTGGCCAGCTCTCGTAAGTTGTTGCTTATGTTCTCAAGTTTCACTAGATATCACAGTTCAAACATCATGCCATGTGTTGACTAACCTGGTTCTGAGAAAATAATGAATGTTATTGATCTAAAAGACCATATAGTCCCTCTCAAACGGAGTGCCGTGACCCACTAACCTACTTTTCAACTCTCAGTCAACCTGTTGAAAATGTCCCTGGCCTGCCACTTGGGGCACTAATTATGTACCAACCACACAAACAACATGCCAGTGGGGACGTCACTAACCGGCTCCCTGCCAATAAATGACTTAACCCCCCTCTCTCAAGTCCTTCTTACACGATACAGTTCAGTGTACAAGAGAGAGCAAGAAAATACTTGAATCCCCTTTAGGTGTAGGGCTGTAGGCTCTAATCATAATATAGGCCTACCACTATTACCTTACATAACATGTAGCCTAGCCTGAACATTGATTACTTTAAGGAGTCATAAAATTCACAAAAACATACAATGGCCACAGTGTTCTGGTAGGACTGGTATTAATCTTAGGCAACACATATAGCCCATTATTCATATTTTAGTGCTACAGGCAAACTGTAGGCTATCAGCAAAGCTATTATATCGTGGGAACAACAAACCAGAGAGAGATGAGGATCCATGAATCCTAGCTGTCAACGGGTAGGGCCGGTCTTGGTCCTTTTGCTGTGCGACCAGGGGTCGTGCGAGGAGAGAGCTGCGATAAAACAGAGCTGTCGGGAGAAGACGAGAAATCAGTGTCATGAACTATATCACAATATTTATTGTTAAATTATAAGTAGGCTATAAAATAAGGCAAAGCAACAAAAAATACCAATAAGGGTTAGGCTATACTGTAATGTAGTCAGTTGTTCACACATGGCTCTGTTCCAAAATGTGAATATTATTACACATAGGCCTTTATTTAATCAGAGGATGAGTCTTTCTTCCCTCAAACTGTAAGGAGTATCATGAATAAACCATTCCATTTGTTATGTGGTTGTCAGCAATCAGGGGTAGCCTATCTGGTGTATACGTTTTTTTTAGGGTAACTTGTTTGTGTGCATCTTGTCTTGGTAGTTGTTAAAAGTAGTATACCTACAACTAGAGGTCGGTAGTATACCGTGTGGTGCCAGGACAACACCTCTCCCTCAACGTGACCAAGACAAAGGAGATGATTGTGGACTACAGGAAAAAAAAGAGGACTGAGCACGCCCCCATTCTCATCGACGGGGCTGTAGTGGAACAGGTTGAGAGCTTCAAGTTCCTTGGTGTCCACATCACCAACGAACTATCATGGTCCAAACACACCAAGACAGTCGTGAAGAGGGCACGACAAAGCCTATTCCCCCTCAGGAGACTGAAAAGATTTGGCATGGGTCCTCAGATCCTCAAAAAATTCTACAGCTACAGCATCCTGACTGGTTGCATCACCGCCTGGTATGGCAACTGCTTGGCCTCCGACCGCAAGGCACTACAGAGGGTAGTGCGTACGGCCCAGTATATCACTGGGGCCAAGCTTCCTGCCATCCAGGACCTCTATACCAGGCGGTGTCAGAGGAAGGCCCTCAAAATTGTCAAAGACTCCAGCCACCCTAGTCATAGACTGTTCTCTCTGCTACCGCACGGCAAGCGGTACTGGAGTGCCAAGTCTAGGTCCAAAATACTTCTCAACAGCTTCTACCCCCAAGCCATAAGACTCCTGAACAGCTAATCATGGCTACCCAGACTATTTGCACTGCCCCCCCACCCCATCCTTTTACGCTGCTGCTACTCTGTTAATTATTTATGCATAGTCACTTTAACTCTACCCACATGTACATATTACTTCAACTAGCCGGTGCCCCCGCACATTGACTCTGCACCGGTACCCCCCTGTATATATAGCCTCCCTACTGTATTTTATTTTACTTCTGCTCTTTTTTTCTCAACACTTTTTTTGTTGTTGTTTTATTTTTACTTTTTTGGTTAAAAAGAAATGCACTGTTGGTTAAGGGCTGTAAGTAAGCATTTCACTGTAATGTCTGCACCTGTTGTATTCGGCGCATGTGGCCAATAAAATTTGATTTGATTTGATTTGAACTAGAGGTCACATAAGGTAATGGCAACTATTCGAGGAATTGAAGTATAGGCAGCCAAAGACCTAGGAGTATGGATTAATTGGATTCATGCCACAGTATGTGGGATTTATAGGGGTTAGAATAGCCTAAAATGTATATAGAATATTTTGGAAAGTGATAGATTATGTTGAGATGGCCTTAGTTCCTACCAAGCATGAGGCCTAAAACTGATATGAAGAGTTTAGAATCGAGGTTGATCATTTTAGCTGCTTCAGGCTACTTTCCGAGATGCGTAAACAGGTCCGATTCAATGAAGAGTGAAGCCGGCTATTGATGTCAGTGACAGCTCGCGCAGGAAGTCTAGCGATTAAGAGCGTTGGGCAAGTAACCAAAAGATCGCTGGTTCGAATCCCCGAGCCGACTAGGTGAAGTCACTATGAACTTGAAAAGTCGTTGCCTTGCTCATCCATCAGCTAACATTAGCTGGCTAGCTACTAGCAAATTACGATATGTACAACGTTACTTTGGACAAAAACCTGTCATTATCAAGAACAACGATATGAAATACACACAATTGTGGAATTAACAGAAAATTACACACAAAGACACCTACGTTGGACACCTCTATGGCAGACAGAACTTATCCTGACGATGGCCGCCATGACGATTAACCAACCAAGGTCACACAAATCTTACCCGGATGTAGTTGATGTTTTGTCCACTGTGATCAAGAGTTTATAAGGACTGGGTGATAGTAGACTTCGGATGCTTCTTCGTCTTATTCGCATGTGCCACATAAACTTCATTTTAATCCAAACAATTATGCAATGTTTGCTTGATCTTGGTTTAATAGATTATTTCCAAAAATAAAGTATAAGAAACATACATCAATTTTGAGCAAACTTTATGGACAATGTTGATCTGCAAAAATAGAAGACTGCAAATTACAATATGTTCCCAAATGTATTATAAAAACATGTTGACCCCAAGGTCTGCATCTGGTCCCAGACATTGACAACTCCTGTAGAAAGCCTGCATTCAAGAAAGATTATAAATACTTATACTACCTGAGGATAACACTAAACATGACTCTGAATTCAATTTTGAACTAGGCCAAATCCTGTTTTACTAGACTACATCCCTGGGCAGGACTAATAATGAGTTAGGTTTTAAAACATTTGCAATGGTCAATCTTAAAGTGACAATCCGCAGTTGAAACAACAACAAAGCGAAATCCCCGCCACTGTTTCGGTAAAAAGCTTAGGTTTGGGACTAGAGATATTTAACCACTCTCAAATTCATAGACAGAGCTACGGTTGCAAAGACTGACCATCCATGATATCAAATGTATAGTTTGAACTATGTTTTGAGGCTGTACAGTGTTTGATTACATTTACTTTGTTTACAAACATTGGAGTAAAACATATTTTGGGTTCTGATGGGTACAATAGTTGAACTAAGCTCAATAGACATTTATAAATTATATTATTTAAAAAAATCAATGGGTACACCACCGCACAGCATTCATTTATAAATCCAAAAATGGATATAGAAACTGCAGATTACCCCTTTAATCTGAATAGATAGCAGTGATTATATTAAAGGGACAGTTCACCCAAAGTACACAATGACATATTGGTTTCCTTACCATTTAAGCAGTCTATGGACAAGGTACGACAGCAATCAATGCTTTGGTTTTGTTTACCTGGACACTGTTTCAACAAAAAAAAGCATTTGTGGCACAAATCCAATGCAAGTCAATGGTACCTATTTCTGCATTTCCTTACCTCATATCGAAATCCTCAATAAGTAACTTCATTGAGTTACACAATCCATTTTGAGATACTTTTGGTTGGTGCGTGAAAATGCAGTGGTGTAAATACTTAAGTAAAAATACTTTAAAGTACTATTTAAGTCGTTTTCTGGGACATCTGTACTTTACTTTACTATTTATATTTTTGACAACTTTTACTTTTACTTCACCACATTCCTAAAGGAAATAATGTACTTTTTACTCCATACATTTTCCCTGACACCCAAAAGTACTCGTTACATTTTGAATGCTTAGCAGGACAGGAAAATGGTCCAATTCACGTACCTATCAAGAGAACATCCCTGGTCATCCCTACTGCCTCTGATCTGGCAGACTCACTAAACACACATGCTTCGTTTGTAAAATTTGTGTTGGAGTGTGCCCCTGGCTTTCCGTAAATAAAAAAACAACAAGTAAATGGTTCCATCTGGTTTGCTTAATATAAGGAATTTGACACTTAAGTATATTTAAAACCAAATACTTTTAGACTTTTACTCAAGTAGTATTTTACTGTGTGACTTTCACTTTTACTTGAGTCATTTTCTATGAAGGTATCTTTACTTTTAGTCAAGTATGACAATTGGGTACTTTTTCCACCACTGTGAAAATGCTAATATACTGTATGTACCATTGACTTGCATTGGATTTGTGCCTCAAATTCCATACCTTGTCCATATACTGCTTACAGGGTAAGTTACCAATTTGTAATTTGGGTGAACTATCCCCTTAACAGAATCTACCCATTAGATTGTTTTATTAAAGGTGCAATATGCAGAAAACACTCTGCCATTTCCTGTTTGCAAAGATTTGAATAGTTCGCCTAATTTCAGTTTATGTGACAAAACAAGCAAGTATAGTGTAGAAGTATAGTAACATCTAAACCGCTGTGAAATATATTTTCCATTTATAAAAAATATTGTATTTTCATCTGTTTGAAGATGGTGTACAAAACCAAAAGTAAAAGAAAAAACAATTTTAGTAGGGGAAGCATAGAAATATCACACATAGAAGAGATCTACCGCTTCATAGACTTCTTAGAATTATAGATCTATAACTCACAACTCTATGTGAATTTGGTCAAATCGGCCAAAAAGTTACATATTGTGGCTTTAAAAAATGGGTGGCCTTACTTACGTGAAAGGCTGAACATTGAAAATATTGGAGAGTCAAGACTCATGTGTTAGTCAATTATCCTAGTACCGGCGCAAACCCACAACAAACCACTGAGCAACAAACGCACGAGCCTACATAGAAGGTCATTCTCAGCTCTACCAGTTGAATTAACCCGACTGTAACCAATCCCTGATACTGCAATGGACGGCTTTGACATAAATTCTTCAGAAAAGGCTGATGCTTCAGAGCTCCAAAGGATGATCGCAATTGAACAACAGAAAGCGCAGTTTCAGGCCCAGGTAGGTATCTTTGCTACATACAGCAGCAGCTATGCAATGAAGTTAGCTAGTTAGCTTGCTAGCTAACGCTAGCTACATGAACTGTATTCTGAACTGTATCCTGCATTGTTATTTTATTACACCATCAAACGTGTTCTCAGAAGGGACAAACTGAATTGCGAGTTGATTACGAAATCATATATTTCTGTTTTAAACCTCCACACGGAAGCTGACTTAGCTGATTCATTGCTTCTTTTGAAGGTGCATAACTTCACAGATGTCTGCTGGGACAAGTGCATGGAGGGGAGCCCGAGTTCAAAACTGGATTCACGGACAGAGACTTGCCTCGTGAGCTGTGTTGACCGCTTCATTGACACTACCTTGTCTATAACCAACCGGTTCACGCAGATGGTTCAGAAGGGTGCCCATTGATGGGAGCTGGACTATGGGAAATAGACTATAATGTTCTATTTTGTAAGAAAACTGTGTGTTATGTTTTCCCTTATGCCTCGAACCCTTAACAGCATTGCCTAAAATGGTGATGATGATATGCCACATTACAATTATTAAAGAGGTAGGCCTAAATTGGACATGATATAGAATCACAAAGTATTTGGTTGCAATACGGCTTTATTAAAATTCAAATTAAAAAGTAGGCCCAAGAACTATACCAACACTGTGCTGCTCATTACATCTCTATAACATCTGTGTGACAACATCATTTGACATTGCCTACAGTATTGTAGAAAATAAAACTATGTAACAAAATGGCCATTTTAAAACAGTACACACAAAAATAATACAGGTTAGAAAGGGAAAAAGGTATGAACAATGTGCCCTGAAGATTTCATCAACACTCCTTTCATCATGTTATGCCATTCATATTGAGTAGAGCAGAACACATGTATACTAGCGAATGCATCATCAGACAGTACTAAACAACGTTATAAAAAAATAATTGTTTTTGGTTTGCCATCCGATTTCGTCATTTAGTTTGTCAACATTCAACCTCCGATCATGGCTTCTCAAGCTATTCAAAATACAATCGATGTGCCCAGGCCCCAGATGTCTATCATGCCAGGTTACTGATGTTCCTGGCAGCCCTTAGTGCAGATTTCATGGCAGTCTCGATCCAAGCGTGAGGTAGGGCCGTGTGCTCCCCAGCAAAGTGGACCCTGCTCTCATTCCTGAACAGGTCCGCGGCGTAGTCCGTCTGCTGGTAAGGGGTGTAAATGGCAAAAGCCCCCAGACTGAAGGGATCCAGCCCCCACTTCTTCACCAACCCCCCAGTGCAGAGAGGACGTATAGCCTCTCCATGGATCTTTACCAGGTCATCCAGCACCAAGGCCTTCAGCTCATCCTCGCTCACCCCCTGGAACAGAGTGGAGTCATCGGAACAGGTGTAGGACGCCAGGAGAGCCCCCCCAGCCGTGCCTGGGAAGCTGTGGCTAGGGTAGTAGATGAAACGAGAGGGGAGATCCGTGATGCTCTTCCCCCCTTTGATGCCCTCCTTTTCCCAGAATCTCTCGCTGAAGCTGAGGACCACCTTGGTGGAGCTGGCGTAGTGCACGGACCGCAGGGCCTCCATCTTCTGGGGTGACAGCCGGGGTTGGAAGTCCATGAAGAGGGTGGCCTTCGCTGTAGCTGTCACCAGGGCGTAGTCTACTGTGAGGTTGGTCAGGGAGGATGGATTGCGCCAGTTCTGGTAGGCTACGGTCACGTTGCTGCTGGTTTGACTGATGAGTCGGACCTTGGAGTTGAGAAGGATGGTGCAGTTGAGGCCCTGGTAAAATGCCCTTGGTAAATGGTCAAACCCATCAGTGATCTCGTAATAGCTGAAAAACAGAGAACATTACACTACTTTAATACACTACTAACAAACACTAGATATAGGGCGGGGTGTCTAATTTGATTATATGTGCATAGTGGTGTGCTTACACGGTGTTGTCGTTAATATCCGACTGAATATACAGCATCTCAGTAAGTGATGCGTAGAAGAGGCTGTTCTCATTCAGGATATCTCCAATCATGCGCAGGGCACCACGACTCAGGTTCCCCTCCTTCACTAGATACTCCTGTCAGAAAACAACAATCATTAAAATGGCTGAATAAAGATATATAAAAACATATTCATTCCCATTTCTAGTAAGGAAAGTGGCAAAGTGCATACCAATTTAGCCTCTGACAATAATCACGTATCTTGTCTGATGGTTATCTATAAGCAACCAAGTGTTTTCTTACCTTGACTGAGTACGAGTCATATTTTCTCAACGTGGCCTCGCAGCCAGCTGTCTTCAAATCATCCCTTATCTACAACAAATCATTTGTATAACTTATTTGTTTTAACTGTGTTATGTGACACATACTGTACATGTATATAACATTTAACATTACACAGTGTTCCACCACAGGAGTCTAATGCTGTGTTTGGAGCCCCCCTCCCTTTGCACACACCTTCCACAGGGCCAAGTCGAAGAGCTGACCAGCCGATTTTCCCCTTTCCTTGTCAGTCAAGGGATAGTTCAGCACGTCTGGGTTCTCTTTAACTCTATATGTTTTCTGCAGCAACCCGTTCACATGGTAATATGTGTTGATGTCATCCTGGATAAATTGATTCAGTCCAAGGCCCATTTTTGATGTAAATGATAAAAGAATTCTGTTGAATTAAAAATGCCATAGTTAACTTTGTATTGATGGTTAAAGTAAACACTTGCTATCATTCTCATGCAACTCTATAGGATATGCATCAGTATCAAATAATGATTAATTTGAGATAGGATGCTTGACCTCTTTTCAACAATAACATATGAAGATAGGGGATAAGAGGTAGCTACCTATTTCATGTGGTAGGACAATAGGCCTTACTCACTTGTGAAAGCTAGGGATCCTCATAGCACCCAGCTCTGCATACCATCCTTCTCTTCTATTTCTGTAGGTCTCCACCCGTCCTCCAATTCGACCACTCGCCTCTATTAAAGTCACCTTGTTCAAAAAAACAAAAGATATCAGTTTCCCCCTTTTGCACTGTAGGCCTATTATTAGTCATAACCAGATAATTACAATACTGACACTAAATTCCTTTCTGAGTATGTCAATCATATGTAAATTAGCACATGTCAATGTAATTAATTGTGTTGACATTGACACAGGAAATGTTATGAAAGATACTGTACCTTGTGCCCTGCGTCCTCCAGAAACTTTGCTGCAGTCAGTCCAGCAATACCACCACCGATGATGGCAATATGATGAGGTGTCTTTGTGAAGGGAAGACCTCTGTCCACAATTTCAAGGAGTTCGGCATAGTCTGAATCTTGCAGGCACTCAAAAAGAGGATCCTCAATGTATCCATTGACACTGAAAACTATGATCACAACTATAGCGACAGGAACTGGAAAAGAGCAAAAGTAAATGTTTTATAGGCCTGCAGGCTTACAATATAAAAATCATGTAAAAATATATATTTTTTAAATGCTACAGAGGGATATATTATTCAAGTAGATGCAACATACATTAATGACATGCAGTCTGTGAGGCTATTCTTGTTTTCACACCAAAATCACAAAACTATATCTAGAATGACTTTAAGAATGTTCCTGAACAACATCTCCTTCTCTACTTTCCAATAAGTTGTTGGAATTCAACAAAAAGTTTTCACAAAAGTAGAAGTTATTGTTTTGCAATTAGACATAGATTATCAAATGTTTTATTGTATTTTCATTGCCCCATAAGGTGATGCAGTACTTGTTATTTTGACAGTAGGCTCAATGTATTTCTGGACTCCCTGAAACAATGCATTTTTACAAATTCTTCAAATAAACAAAAATATAGGCTATGAACTTTGACCACAAGTCAATTTGTCATTATAACTAAGCTAAAGTCAGATGTGTTGAAGAAAAAGGAAATACTTACAATATTTGCACAATGCCACAAAGGGTATCATATTGACTCCTAAACCCAGAGTCCTTGCCTTCCCTTTTCTAGTGATGCTGACGCCCACCGGAGAAATGGAAACCTAAAGCGAAACATGGAGTCATGTAGCCAAGATAATGTGATTGACTTTGTTTTACTAAATTAAATTAATATTATGAACGTTATACAATATCGAACTCCCCCCACCCCACCCCACCCCACCCCACCAATATCAAGTTACACATTTGTTTTCGTTGCGAATTAAATTAAGAACATTAATTTGCGAATATCATAACGACTTACCTTTAAACAACTATTCATATATGTATAAGTCTTAGGCCTACACACTTAAACTGAGATACAGGTAGGCTATCTTCATGGGATACCACTCACCTTCATCAATGGTAACTTCTCAAAAGCGATATGCATGAATGAAACAAATATCTCTGAGCTATATAGCTTAGCTATATTACTTAGCCTAAATCTTTTCTAGGATTCTTACAAGTTGGCGTCTTACCATGAATGACTAGACTGGAATCACACATGGTATGTGTGAAATTGCACCCAACGTATTTTAATGAGGGACCTATGTGGGCTTCTGAGGTCGGAAAGAAATATTTTCCCACACCGGCTCGAGATTCAACCACACTGAACAAATTAGATTAGTGAGGTTTACTATTCACCAGCATACCTCATTTCCCCCTTCCCACCAACATAATATATGTTTTATAGTGCATTTTAGTGTCACCTGAAGTGCACCTTGCCTTACCTAACCTGAGATAGAGAAATTGTATTTTAAGATTCGAAGATAAGATTCTATAGTGAATTATATTTAATTGGATACATACATTGAAGGTTAGGTTAAATAAATCAGAACGTCTACTCACCTTAATGTGATGTCAAATGATAAACCCGTCTTCTTTTATAGTGAAGGAGGAGCGCAATCGAAAGCAAACGCAAAGGTTTCAAAAGGGTTACATCATTGGAATTCCTTTATTTCCGTAAATTGAGAATTGGATACATATCAAGAGGGGCTTGATAAGCCTTTTATATGATGTGATGTAAACAGTCAGCAACATATTAACTGTGATAATGCAATGAATGTGCTCCACAATGCACCTTTCACCATGCATAATAACTTGATTGATATGTGTTTTTTATATTACTCTTTATAACAAAAAATGTTAATGATAAACAACAACAAAAAACAAGACAAACAAATCTCCCCAAATGTTTTGTACTTCCTTGACTCCATTAATGGTGTATCCCAATGGCACCATAATCCCTACATTGCCCTATGAGTCCTGTTCAAAAGTAGTGTACTACAAAGGGAAAAGTGTGTCATTTGGGATGAACAACTTTGACATTCACCTGGCTTTTATTCTATTGGGTGTTGTAGACAGATTGGTATTTGAGCTTGTTTAAAGCTAGAATCCTTAATTGAAACAATACCAAAGCGGACACCCTGCCTCTGTTTTAGTAAAAAGCTGAGCGATGGGCCTGGAGAAATATAACCACTCTCAAATGTATTAAGATCACTTTATTGGTCAATTGCACACAAGGTCCAACTGAAATTTGACTTCTGCTTTTAACCCAACCCCTCCGAAAGACACACATACAGGTTTTTGGGGGGGGGGGGGGGGGGAGATGTTGTTGCTACAGTGGGCACCGGGGAGATGTTGTTGCCTCCTCATTGTTGTGGGTAGCTGAAAATTAACACAACAATATTGTTCACATTCTTCATATACTGTAATAAGGCACCATGTGGTTATTTGAACAATGAGCAAAAAACTTCCCTGACTGACTCATGATTCAAACTTTGACATTCACCTGGATGTCTTTTTACTGGCAGTGGGTATAGTCGACAGATTAGCATTTGAGTTTATAGGCATTTCCCACGCTTCATTTTCTCAGGTAATCTGAGCAGCCACTGAACAACTGAACATTGCTAAAAGGACATTAGTACAGCAATAGAATAGATCATGTCATGTAAACAATGTCTTCACATTTCTACAGGGCACAGGCTACCTTACAGTGTAGCCTACTATGCACACTCAATTGCCTCTCTATACCTAACCCAAACACGTGGAATATCAGTTTGATATTGACTGTTTGTTTGACTGTCTTTTTTAAAATTATTATTATCTTATCATCGTGGATATCTGACAAGACAAAAACATTCTTCACATAGTGATCTGACCAAGCAGCGACATCAATCATGTTTAATCAGATGCAACTATCACCAGTTGTGGCAGTCGCAGATTAAATGCAGTTAATTTATCATCTTTATGACTAAAGAATTTGGTTGTGTTCCCCTGTTCAGACGTTGCATGTATCAACCAATGGTTGTGTGCCACGTCATCGACTGTGTCATCGGCTGACAGATTGCTATAACATATGATGCGGTAAACGGATCCATAAAATACCTATGGATCAACCTGGGCAGAGGAACACAGCCTTTAACTTTATGACAAATTGGTCTATTGTTGAAATGTTATGTAGATAGTGCATGTATTTAATCTTCAGGCCTAAATGTCTGTAATACTATAGAAAATGAAAATGTATGTGGGAAATCATTCATGAAAACTTCTGAAAATATATTTAGACTACTGTCTGATCTCTCGAAACAAAAGTAATAATGGACTGTATTTACAAATATAAATTGGGTAGTGGAATCAATAGTAGATATTAGAACAGCATCGTTGACTGAATGTGTGAGTTTGAGTGCATGTGTTTATGGGTGTTTGTGTGTAAATGTGTGTGCAGTCAGTGCAAATAATTTCTAAGGTGCATATACACTCTTAGAAAAAAAGGAGCTATCTAGAAACTAAAGGGTTATTTGGTTGGGGGGGGGGGGGGGGGGGGGCTGCTACAGTGGGCCCCGGGGAGATGTTGTTGCCTTGCTCAAGGGCACAACGGCAGGCAATGGCATCTAGGATTTGATACCAGCAACCCTCCAGTTGCCAGCTCACTTCCCGCAAAATTTTTCCCGTCGGTGTGGATGCAAGGACCGACCATCCATTATATAAAAATTATAGTTTTAACCATGTTTTGAGGCTATACAGGGTTTGTTTACATTTTAGTCATTTAGCAGACACTCTTATCCAGAGCGACTTACAGTTAGTGAGTGCATACATTATTTTTTTCATACTGGCCCCCCGTGGGAATCGAACCCACAACCCTGGCGTTGCAAACGCCATGCTCTACCAACTGAGCTACATCCCTGCCGGCCATTCCCTTCCCTACCTTGGACGACACTGGGCCAATTGTGCGCCGCCCCATGGGTCTCCCGGCCGCGGCCGGCTACGACAGAGCCTGGATACGAACCAGGATCTCTAGTGGCACAGCTAGCACTGCGATGCAGTGCCTTAGACCACTGCGCCACTCTGGAGGTTTTTACATTGTTTACAAACATTCCAGTAAAACAAGCTTATATTTGGGGTTCTGATGGGGTACGACAATTTAACTAAGCGCATGAGGCATTTATAAATTATATTCTTCAAGAATCAATGGGCTTTTATTATTAATTTCTAAGTCCACAAATTGATGTAGCCTTTAAGGATTGTAGGTTTAAGCATTTCCCACGCTACATTGTGCCACGTTGATGTTCTTTGTGGCATCTTTTTTAAGGTCATCTGAGCAGCCGATGAACCACTAGAATAGTTTCTTTCAACAGCGGAAGTAGAGCCACATGAGTCAAATCAAATGTATTTGTCACATACACAGTTTACAGCAGGTATAAAAGGTGCAGTGAAATGCTTATGTCCTAGCTCCCTCAACAATGCAGTACATTTATCAATAATCAATAATAACAATGAAAAGAGTCAGGTCAAAAATAACATGTAGTAGAAGTAATATAAGAGGTAGTATGCGTAGTAATAATGGACTGTATTTACAAATATGAATTGGGTAGTGGAATCAATAGTAGATATTAGAACAGCATCGTTGACTGAATGTGTGAGTTTGAGTGCATGTGTTTATGGGTGTTTGTGTGTAAATTTGTGTGCAGTCAGTGCAAATAATTTCTAAGGTGCATATACACTCTTAGAAAAAAAGGAGCTATCTAGAAACTAAAGGGTTATTTGGTTGGGGGGGGGCTGCTACAGTGGGCCCCGGGGAGATGTTGTTGCCTTGCTCAAGGGCACAACGGCAGGCAATGGCATCTAGGATTTGATACCAGCAACCTTCCAGTTGCCAGCTCACTTCCCGCCAAATTTTTCCCGTCGGTGTGGATGCAAGGACCGACCATCCATTATATAAAAATTATAGTTTTAACCATGTTTTGAGGCTATACAGGGTTTGTTTACATTTTAGTCATTTAGCAGACACTCTTATCCAGAGCGACTTACAGTTAGTGAGTGCATACATTATTTTTTTCATACTGGCCCCCCGTGGGAATCGAACCCACAACCCTGGCGTTGCAAACGCCATGCTCTACCAACTGAGCTACATCCCTGCCGGCCATTCCCTTCCCTACCTTGGACGACACTGGGCCAATTGTGCGCCGCCCCATGGGTCTCCCGGCCGCGGCCGGCTACGACAGAGCCTGGATACGAACCAGGATCTCTAGTGGCACAGCTAGCACTGCGATGCAGTGCCTTAGACCACTGCGCCACTCTGGAGGTTTTTACATTGTTTACAAACATTCCAGTAAAACAAGCTTATATTTGGGGTTCTGATGGGGTACGACAATTTAACTAAGCGCATGAGGCATTTATAAATTATATTCTTCAAGAATCAATGGGCTTTTATTATTAATTTCTAAGTCCACAAATTGATGTAGCCTTTAAGGATTGTAGGTTTAAGCATTTCCCACGCTACATTGTGCCACGTTGATGTTCTTTGTGGCATCTTTTTTAAGGTCATCTGAGCAGCCGATGAACCACTAGAATAGTTTCTTTCAACAGCGGAAGTAGAGCCACATGAGTCAAATCAAATGTATTTGTCACATACACAGTTTACAGCAGGTATAAAAGGTGCAGTGAAATGCTTATGTGCTAGCTCCCTCAACATTGCAGTACATTTATCAATAATCAATAATAACAATGAAAAGAGTCAGGTCAAAAATAACATGTAGTAGAAGTAATATAAGAGGTAGTATGCGTAGTAATAATGGACTGTATTTACAAATATAAATTGGGTAGTGGAATCAATAGTAGATATTAGAACAGCATCGTTGACTGAATGTGTGAGTTTGAGTGCATGTGTTTATGGGTGTTTGTGTGTAAATTTGTGTGCAGTCAGTGCAAATAATTTCTAAGGTGCATATACACTCTTAGAAAAAAAGGAGCTATCTAGAAACTAAAGGGTTATTTGGTTGGGGGGGGGGGGTGCTGCTACAGTGGGCCCCGGGGAGATGTTGTTGCCTTGCTCAAGGGCACAACGGCAGGCAATGGCATCTAGGATTTGATACCAGCAACCTTCCAGTT